AAAAGAGCACCGACTGCTCTTCTAGAGGTCCTGAGTTCAATTCCCAGCACCCACATGGTGGTTCACAACCATCTGTAATGAGATCTGGCACCTTCTTCTGTGTACATAATAAATAAATCTTTAAAAAAACCCCTTCTGGTCAAGATGGAGATACTAGCAGAAAATAGGTCTTAGAAAAAGAAGTCAGCTTCGTTGGTAAAACACATTCAAAACACATTCATCACAGATTGAATCTGTGTTTTCATGCTCAAGAGAGTTGACTTTCTACAGACTTCTGTTTGTTCCCTTCCGAGCCACACAGAAAAGATGACATCAGTGCCAGGCAGAAACAGGGCTCCAGCCTCAGTACCTGGAAACAGACTCTGCCTCTGCTATTATCCAAATCCTCTGATAAGGTTTTTGGAGATAAATCTCCTCCCCTTCATCACGCATATGAGAAACTGAGACCCAGGGACAGAGTTAGGCATGGCTAGAAACCACACCTAAAGTGCATGATGCTCCATCTAAACTCAGCCCACCCCTCCCCTCCTCCCTTCTCCCACTACCCCCACCCCAGCGGATCCGGAGCTCCGATGCAGTGACGTCACCTACCCCACCTCCACCTGCCCAGGTAAGATGGCCATCATTACCTTGTCTACACTGCCTCCTGAAGACACAGTACAGGATGAGACCCAGGACCAAGGAGACAACGATGATGGCCACAGCTAAGATAATCCAGAAATGGTCCCTCCACCAACTCATTGCTGTGGACGCCTAAAAAGAATAGAGACCGAGGCATGAGGCAGGAATGGAAAGCCTGCTGCTGTGGAATAATCCTTCTGTATGTCGTGGAAATATGTCCCCCCCCCCCAGAGACAGGGTTTCTCTGTGTTGCCCTGGCCATCCCGAACTTGAGCTATAGACCAGGGTGGTTTCAAATTCTCAGAGATCCTCCTGCCTCTGCCTTCCAAATACTGGGATTATAGGCATGCTCCACCACCTGTGGTCTCACTGCTAATAAAAAGCTGATTGGCTGATAGTTAGGCATGATTTGGGGGGCAGAGAGCATGCTGGGAAGAAGGGCAGAGTCAGAGGAGTGAGACATGGAGAGGAAACAGGAGGTACAAGATGAAAGAGAGGTAACTGCCATGTGGCAGAATGTAGATTAATATAAATGGGTTAATTTTTTTTTGGGGGGGGGTTTCGAGACAGGGTTTCTCTGTGTTGTTTTGGTGCCTGTCTTGGAACTCACTCTGTAGACTAGGCTGGCCTTGAACTCACAGAGATCTATCTGCCTGGCTCTGCCTCCTGAGTGCTGGGATTAAAGGCGTGTGCCACCACCACCCAGCAAGGGTTCATTTAAGTTGTAAGAGCTAGTTAGTAATAAGCCTGAGCTATTGTCTGAGCATTTATAATTAATATTAAGTCCATGTCGGTTATTTGGAAACTGGCAGGTGGGAAAGAAAAGTCCGCCTATAGCCTGCAGTGTGGGTCTGTCATCTACCCTGCTTCCTGACACATCTGCGGAGAAACCAGGTACTCAGACCTTATAGACAATGCCTTAGTAGGCCACAGGCAAGTCACTTAACGCCTTCTGAGACTGTGTCCCTTCCGTGACATGGGATGGATGCTGCTAATTACTTTACAGGAGTTTGTGAGGTTTGGCTATAAGTCACATACCTACTAGGCACCCCAGAAATAGAGGACAGAAGACACAGCAGAGGGGAGATGTACCACTGAGAGCAATCCCCAGCTACAGTTCTTTATATCGCAAAGACAAGAGACACTTTTTATCACTGTTGTTTGTTTTGAGGATGGGCTTGGGGAAAATAATTTGATAGGTGCTGTGATTTGAATATGGCTTGCTCCACTAGATCTCATGCTGAGGCTTGGTCACCATGACACAGTGCTGAGAAGTGGTGAGATTTTTTTTTTTTAAATAAAAAATGATTTGTAATGTATGAGTGCTTTGGCTCATGTATCTCTGTGCACCACATGTGTTCCTGGTGTCCACGGAACCAGAAGAGAGTGTTGGATCCCTTGGAATTAGAGTTTTGGACAGTCGTGAGCTGCCATGTGGGTGCTGGGAATCGAACCCTGAACCTCCGGAAGGGTGGCTAAACCATTTCTCCAGCCCCAAGGATGGCGGGATTTTTGTTTTGTTTTAGGAGATGGGGTTTCTTTGTGTAACAGTCCTGGCTGTTCTGGAACTCTCTTTGTAGACTAGGCCTGACGATGGTGAAATTTTTAAGAGGCATTTGGAGCTGTGTGTGGTGGTTCACATCTGTAATCCCAGAGCTCTAGAGCCTGCAGCCTCAAATGGAGGGCCAGCCTTGGCTACACACAAATAGCCCTCTCCTAATAAAAGACATTTGGATCATGAAAGGTCTATTCTCATGAAAGGATTAACATTATTTTATGTGAAGGAGCTTGCAGGACTCTGTAGACCTGTTCTCTTCCAGTCAAGAGTTGAAATAGTGAGATACCCTCTCCATGTAATCTTGGAATTCCCAGTTTATCTCTAATCTTCCAATTAACCGTGAGCCAAAATAAACCTCTTCTCTGTCTCTCTCTCTCTCTCTCTCTCTCTCTCTCTCTCTCTCTCTCTCTCTCTCTCTCTCTCTCAGTTATCCAGTCTGTTGTAGTGATACAAAACAAACCAAGACCCTGAGTCTCTTTGAGCATGGTGTGGTGCAAGCTTTAGACACAGTCAGCTGAGTTAATGCACATGGAAAAATATCAGGAATTTGGGGGTCTGAAGACTGACTAGAGAAGAGTCCAAAGACCGAGGGTAAAACCAACCCTGACTGGTCAAACAAACAAACAAAAAATAAAATAACTCCTGATGATGTTCTGCTAAACTCAGAGATCAGTGCCTTATCCAGTCATCGTCAGAGAGGCTTCCTCCGGCAGCACATGGGAGTGGGTCCAGAGACCCACAGCCAGACATTATGAGAAAGAGAGACTAGATTGGAGGTCTCCATCAACCCCCTCCCCTCGGAGCTCAGGGAATCCCGAGGAAGAGGAGGTGGAAAGTGTGTAAGAATCAGAGGGGATGGAGGACACCAGGGTAACACAGCCCTCTGGATCACCTAAGTGAGGCACATAGGGGCTCACAGAGACAGCAGCAGCAATTTCAGGGCCGACGTGGGTCTCCACCAGGTGCTCTGTGCATGTATTATAGCTACTGTCTTAGTGCTTTTATAGGAGGAAGGGAGTGGATCCAGAGTGGAGTCAGGAGGAACCTGGAGAAGCAGAAGGAGGGGTAACCATAATCAGGATATGCGGTATGAGAAAATAACCTATTTTCAATTAAAAAATATGACAACAACCAAAAAGACTGACTAGGGAAGAGCCTTAGAGCAGGTTAGCTGCAGAGGCGAGGCCAAGAACAAAGCCAGTCACTCCATAGTTAGAAAGGTCCCACAGTGGAAGAGGATCACACATTTATACAGGAGTTATGTGTTAGTTCTAAAAGCCACCCTGGAGCTGCTGTGAGTGAGAAGTCCTGGAAAGAATCAGTGTTTGCACAAGATGATGGGCTAGTTAAAACGTCGGTGGTGTGGAGGGGAGCTTGGAAGTTTGTGTGTAGTTCCAGAGCCTAGTGACAGTTTGTCTTGCCTATGACTAGCCCCTAAAGAGCCATTCCTTGGCCACCTTCCCATGGGAACTAACATCCTATGACTAGAGATAACGTTGAACTAACATTCTGACCCATAGACTGTATTAACTTAACAAAACCCCCGTTTTCCACCAATCAAAAGGCTAAGAATGCTATCAGCTAGTATCTGAGGCCTACAGTTGAGATTTTTCTGGTGCTGCAGCCCATCTCTCTGATTTTTGTTTGTTTGTTTTTTGAGAGAGGACTTCTCTGTGTAGCCCTGGCTGTCCTGGAACTCACTCTGTAGACCAGGCTGGACTTGAACTCATAGAGATTCACCTGCCTCTGCCTTCTGTGTGCTGGCATTAAAGGCATATGCTACAATGTCTGGCCATCTATACGAGGTTTTTAACTCACCAGTGTGTTTTTTAGATGACTTGAGACTAGAGAGATGATCCGGGAGTTAAGAACATTTGCTGCTCTTCCAGATGACCTGAGTTCAATTCCCAGTACCCCCATCAAGTAGCCCATGATCATCTCCAGGGGTGTCTTACACGCACGCACGCACGCATGCCGCTTGTAATTTAAAACGATAAAAATAGGTGCTGGAAGCCAGGCATTGGTGGCAGCACACAACTTTAATCCCAGCACTCAGGAGGCAGAGGCAGGTAGATCTCGGAGTCTGAGGCGAGCCTGGCCTACAGAGTGAGTTCCAGGACAGCCAGGGTGACACAGAGAAACCGTCTTGAAACAAACAAACAAAAAAGGGGCTGGAGAGATGGCTCAGTGGTTAAGAACACTGGCTGCTCTTCCAGAGGATCCTGAGTTCATTCCCAGAAACCTCATAGATGCTTACAACCATATGTGACTCCAGTTCCAGGGCACCTGGTCCTCGCTGTCTTGACAAACAGGAATAATATTCTTTCTTTAGCCTTGGGGAACCAGATACAAAAAGGTCTGTGGGTGGATGAGTGGCTAGACAGACGACAGACTGACAGAATTTTTTCCTTTCTTTTTTTTCCCCCTCCTTTTCAAATGCTTGTCTCTTGGTTCTTCGTCTGTCTGTACTCTACATTTTTCTTTCTTTTTGTTTTTTTTTTCCTTTCTCTCATTAAGTTTTCTCCAAACAGCCACACATACCTGCACTTTAGAGCGACAGAGATTGATATGGAGAGACAAGGGTTAAAAACTGTTGTGCTGGAAGACTGGGTGAAAGGAGAAAGGGAGGTCAGGGGTCATCACTGTCCCTGTCTACCCTCTGAGCTACCTGACTCTTGAACTATTTGCATCCACTCTGATAAAATCGGGGCGCAGGGGGGTGGGGAGGTAGAGAGAGGCGACCGTGGAGGATGCTTCCATGAAAAGCCATTGTTTCAGTTTCAAAATTCAATGAATTGCATTTCCACTAGACGCTTGGGAAAGACAGAGGAAGAATGATGTCACCAGGAAGTGAAACCATGGACCATTTCAGAGCTGCTCAGAGGGTTAAGGCTTTAGCTTTCTTCCCAGCCTTTCTTAGAAATGAAACCGATCAGATTTCCCATCCATGTTTCTAGTGTGTCCGGGGCCCTGAGAGTCTGTGAAATAGATTCCCATCTCCCACTTCATCCTCAACCTTCACCCTGTTCCCCAGATGAGGAGCAAAGATCAAGGTGAAGTGACCTTCCCAAGGTCACCCAGAAAGGTCAGAATGCTTTCTCCCTGTGTCACACGGCCTTTATCTAGTGATAATAATGTCTCAAGTCACCATAGAAAGGCCAGTTGGAGTCCACACATCCTGATTTAGGAGAATCACTTCCCAATAGAACAGGGTAATTTGTCTTGCTGAGAGAGGAAGCCCAAGAGAATCACATTCCATTTCCAATCTGATGTCACCTGAGGCCACCAGGCTGGCTCAATGGTTAAGGGGCTTCCAGACAGGAGAAGTATTCTGTGGAGATATGTGGGGAGTACATGCAGGGGGCAAGGTGCAGGCCCTGGAAAGATCGAGAAACTGGATCTCACTCCGGCCACAGCCTGGGGCCGAGTGGGTAGAAAGGGCTGTTGTGGAGGGAACAGTGGCGAGGAAAAAAGAGCGTACATGCTCAACCCAGAGGCGCCTGGTGTTTTGGAAAATCTTCAGTCCTCTGTTGGTAGACTCCCTAGGTGTAGAACCCATGACTGGAGGGATGAC